GGAGGCGGGCGCGGAGGGGCGCGCAGCCGCCCGCCGCCGGCGCCGTTTCATAGTTTGCGGGGGGTTTGCGAGGCGCCCGAGCGATTTCTGGGTAGCTGTGGCCAGTGTATTTACTAAAAATGTGAGGTAGATGAGAGGCCGGTAGCAAGGCCGCGTCCCCCGGCCGCAGGGCTTTCCTCCGGACGGGCAGCAGGGGCCGGGGAGAGTCACGCAGACCCAGCCAAAGTTTGTTCTCCTTCCAGAAGTCGCGGAAGGGGTCGGCGTGCGCCAGCTCCGGCCGGAGGTCGGCGGCTGACAGCGCTCGGCTGATTTTCCTCCGTTTCGTCCTTAGGACCCGCTCGGTTTTGCAAGACGTGTAAAGGGCTTCCACGTCCTCTCTGGAGATCAGGGTGCATTTGGCGGCGTGGAAGGCGATGGAGTTGATGGCTTTGAGTTTCCTCAACTCCTCCAGGTCGCAGTGATGCTTTTTGACTTTTAAATGATCCATTCGCTTGTGCACGGTAGTTCGCGGGATGTTTTTGAGCAGGTCTGTAAAAACCTGGGAGAGTGCAAACATTTGCTTTCCTTTAATGATGAGGTAGCCGAGCCTCACGCCATCCACCTCTTCAAAACCCGACTTCAGGTCTCCCATTTCGTGAATTAAATTATTCCCAGCATTTGCAGAGAGAGAGAGAGAGATGAAAAAAAGGAAAAAAAGGAAAAAAAAAAGAAAAAAAAAGCCACACACACACAATCCTCAGCCAGATGCTGTATTTGTCTCAAGGCATCCTGCTAATAAAATATAACAAAGGCTGTTATTCCTGGTGAATGAAGTGCCAAACTTTAGACAAAATTTTAAAAATAAGTTAAAAAAATACCGTGAGGCTACAATCAATATATAATCTTAAAAATCAGGTTTGCCAAAGTGTTTCTCTAAGTTGATGCTGAAGATCAGTACCTGTTCCCTTTCATTCCCTGCTTTTCCATTGGAAACTATGATAATGGAATGTGAAGGGAGGAAGAGAAAAGAAATGCAGCTGCTATTCCCGCCGCTGCTTTAGCTACAAATAAAATGACAGAGTGAAGTGAGCTCGTCCGGAGACACCTTCATCAATTAATTCCCCTAAAGCCAACGCTGATTGGACACTCCTGACAGGTGATGCAATAAAAATTGATATTCCACCCCTTCCCCCCAAAAAATCTCCCACTAATTAGCATACCCTTATACTGCCACCTCCCCTCCCAAAGTAAATAATACAGTTAGTATATAAATCTTTCTATTAAACAATCCGAGCTCAAACACAGTCAGACCTCTCAGACTTCCTCGTCGCTAGCTTCCGAGGAAGGATTTGTACGCTTTTTTCCCCCTACCGCTTCGTATATTTTTAGCCTGTTTTGGACAGACGTTGCTCTTTTGTGCATGTCGTGAATATAAAGAACGTAAGTCTGGTCGTAGCGATGGAAAATCCTTCGGTAACGTAGCCGCTTTAAACTAGCATTTTATTCTGCATTGTGTGGAAAATGAAGCTTAGGGAAAACGTGCGGAACAGCCTGGTATTTCCTTCTCTGAAGCTCCAAAGTTAAATGCTCGCTTGTTAACGAGAGGGGATACTTACATTTTCGAGTTTCTCTTGATTTTCCTCTTCTGCTTAATTAGCTTTTTAGAGCCGTGGACTAAGATTATTTTGCTGCCTGAATATCGCGGGTTCCCGCACCGCGATACTGTAACAGTTTTAGCTGAAATTCTGCCTTTAATATTGCGGGAGGGGGGAGGAGGACGTGGGCTCACGTCAGACCCATAACAAAGCATAGATAAGCCAGAAATGTACACACTTTTCACGATTAACCGTGCTGGATCACGAGCTGGAATGTCCTATAGTCCCAGAGCCCACGTCAGGATTCCTGCGTGCTGATTGCTTCCAGCAGAGAAAGGAGAATGTAAAATATCCAAGGTGCTTCCAAGAGCCTTTACGTAGTAACAAAAAAAAGTGCTGGCACACACAATGTACAGTATTGCAACGGGCTAGGATGCTTCTCCCTCGCAGTTCGCATATTCCGCTCGGAGCAGCCTTGCCGCAGCTTTTTGATGTTCCATTTAGAGCGGCCCCTTAAAATCAATTCAAAGAAGCAGCACGACGGTTTAACCTCTTCTCAGGAACGTTAAATTATTCGGGTGTCAGGGACGGGAATTTCACAAATGCTACGATAGCTGCACGCTTCTCCCTTGTCACGTTAAAGTGATGCCGCTTGCGGTTTGCACGTTAGGCGCTGCGGAAAAAAAAAAAAAATCACCAATCTCTGCCGTGCATCCAGTGTTCCGCTGGATACAAACACGGGCACTTTTATGTATCACTGCGCATCCAGAATTAGACATATCCGCGAGGTTAATGAGACATCTCATATTTCTGGGACCTGGCAAAAAATCGACGGAGAAAAACAAACAAAAAAAATCTTCATTCCCAAACGTCAATATCCGCTCCTGGTATTGGCAATATGGTGCGTGGAGTTCTTGTTACCCCGTCAGGTACGGCTAAAATAAGGCGCACAATCACGCTGTAAAAACGCAGCTTCTCATGCCAAGGCGAAATGCAGGCGAGCCCCCAGTTTCGCGGGAATTATAGAGAGAAGTGGGAATTTGGAGAAGTGCATCCGGGAATGGAGGAAGTCTATTCAAGGGAGCCTTTAACTCGGAGGGCTGAGATTTGAAAAGTCAGCCCCGGACTACTGTTGCTCTCGGCGCAGATGTAATCGCCGCTGTTCAACTTAATCCATGTGTGTGCGAACCGCGATGCCTGGTTCTTCCCTTCGAAACCCGGGGACAGTGTTCCCATCCGAGAAAGCAGAGCTACGGTAAATTACATTTTGTCCCTCGAATTAGAAAAGGATCATTGAGTGGATCTCGTGATATTTCAGCCTGTAAACGTAACCGAGAGGCAGCAGTGAACAATGCCTCGGCACAGCTAACACCGTCCGCGGAGTTCGCCTTCCCTCTCCTCGCCTCTGGATCCCCCAGCCTTGCCTTTCTCCTCCTCGCTCGTCTGAGAGGCACCCTGGTATACGCTGAGGCTGAAAGCAAAGTTTCGAGAGAAAACAGCTGCTGGCGCTAAAAAGAAATCATCGCGGTCTTTCTAGAGCTAGAGACAATAAGGTCGTTTAAAAATTCCTCCTGATGTACTTATATACTGCCAACACCCCCACCCCCTCCCCACTGCTCTCCTCCCCCTGCTTTAAGGTTAAGGCTATGGAGTCAACAGTTAAAGAACAGTAAACTCCGAGAAAGCTGCTCAGAAGACGTTACTGAAAGCCCCGATGGTCTGAAAAGTCCTTTATTTGCCAGGTAGTTCGGCTGGGTGGGATCCCCGCATACATCCACGCGTGCGTCCGCACGCAGGGAGCCACGGGCGCCCGCACCCACGTCCCGCCGCTGACAGCCTGGCAGCGGGGTTCGGCAACGATTTAAAAAATGCCTACTTTTTGTTGGCTTAATTCCAGCCCTACCAAACGTTTAAAACCAGTGGCGGCTCTCTGGGAAATCCCGATGTCCCGAAAGGTACGGCCATGAGCGCCAGGGTCGAGGCAGAGCCAAATGTCGACAGGGAGAAACCCACCACAAGTCTGGGGAAATGTCAGACGCCCAGCCTACACATCCCCACCGCATACTCACACACCCCCTCGGCTGCACATCTTTCTCCACGTCTCACACGCAGGGAGACCTCTGTTTCTCTACCTCCCCATCGTTTGGGGGTTTTGTGTGCGTGTGCGCTTTCCCTTGGTCATCAGCACACATTGTGTATCCGGGGTCGTCTTCAGGCAGGCTGGGGGGGATCCTGCCACGGAGCCGGCAGAGGCCTCTTGCACACGCACATTAAAGGCAGGGGACTTGAAAATGGATTTGCACGCATGCAGGGGATTGCGATCAATACCCACCAACATTTATGGCTTAGATTGTTAATGTGAAAGCTGGCCAAAAGAATGAAAATGAAAAATTAAAGGTGTCTGGTATCAATTACATGAAAAGTTATGCAATAATTTACTTACTGGGTGCAGGGGTGTGTGCCTGCATGTTCGCGTGTCCGCGTGTCCATCGTGCATGTGTGTGCAGACCCAGATGTACATGTGGCCCTCCCTCAAAAGCAAAGGAGTTTCTTTGTTAATTTTGTGGACTCTGTCACCCTCGCTAGTGATCAAAGATGAGCATGATTAAAGGGATAGATGTTTGTCTCACATTTCTTAAGATAAGGACGCCTAGAGATGCCCCGTTTTGCCAAATACATATACAAGCAACTACAGAGAGTTGTGTGTGTAGGCGCACACACACACAGAGACTATCAATCAAACGTGCTCCTTTTCACGTTGAGTAGCGTGCGATCTGCAATCTACACTCTATAGTCAGTAGTATTTCAGTCTTGAAGCTGTCCGGTCGAAGGATAAACCTCATTAGAAAAGAAAGAGCAAAATAATACTCATAATACCTCACTGTAGACCTATTCCCATTTATTTGAAATGGTATACTTTCATTTCTGTAAACTTGTGTTAAAATATATATGCTCATGGAGAAGTGCTTCACCGCGGCATTTCAGCAAGAAAATGTGTGTAACGTTTAAAATGCTCCTTTTACGTGATATTTTGATTTATTTTCATAGTATGATTATGTTTAAATACCAGTGCAATTCAGCCTGACCTCTTCCTTCTGCAATGAAGTAATGCACACACCATTTACAGTCTTTTAAACGTTTCGTTGGGAAATGCAAGAGCGATGTCCACCAGCAGTTGTACTAATGGGGAGAATTCTTTTGAAAATCTTCAGGAAAACCCAAGAGGTCGTGTGCATTTTCACGCTAGGATTGCCACTTATTATTAGCGTATTATTATTGAGTATTATTATTATTTATTATTATTTGGTAAGTGTTGGACAATGTCTTCAGGTATTGACAAGCATTAAATAAACATTTTGCTTTCGTGAGGCTAGACATATACATTTCAAACGAGAACTTGTTTTCTAACCCTATACTCTGCTTTTAGATATTGCTTGGCATATTTTGCTCGAGGATGGCACAGACAGAAAGCAGCTAGAGGCTATCACAAAGAGTCCAGTAACATAAATATAATAGGGTCAAAGAACAGTATAATAGGATCCTTCTGCTATTTTAAAGTCAGCCAAATGTGACTGTAGTACTTAAAATTTGCTGTAAATTCTAATACGGCAGCAAATCACAATGTATGACTAAATATCCTAAATGTGTAGCACAAAGAAATGCCAGCCATTGGTTTGGGAAAAAAAAATCATGATCTAGCTAACGCTCATGCCTAGGAGTTTCAGGGTTGGGTTTTCTTTCTTTCTTTTCTCCCCCCCCCCCCCTTTTTTTTTTTCTTTTTTGTAAACAAAGCATCAGTGCAGAGTTCTGCTAAGTGCATTTTAAGTTGGTTTTTTGTTTTTTTTTTTTTTACTTGGGGGCTGGGGTGTCACTGGTACACTAGAATTTTGTGCAATTTATAATCACCACGGGCTAAGACCATTTCTTGAGTTTGATATTCCTGGTAGTTTTTAAAATACTTTTTAGCAGGAGTTTCTGGACACATACTACATGCCATGTTGTTTACTGACCCATAATCAAAATGCAGTGACCTTCTACCCTTTTTTTGCCCCTTGAC